CATTTTTGCCAACAGCCTTCCCCAGAGTTTAAGTGATTTCTTATTAGCTTTAAAATAACTGAAAATTTAAACCACTAACCCCTCTCTGGCACCATGCTCAGAGATAAGTACATCTCCATCTGCAAACTCTCCTTCTAAAATCATGTAGCTGTTCACTTTTCCCTTTCCTCTTCAGTTCAAGTCAGCAGCTTCTCTCATAGGGAGTAACACAATAGCCTTCTTACTGGTCTCCCTGCTTCCCCTCTGGCCCTCCAGATGGCAGACTGAGTGACATCAGGCCTCCCTTCTGCTTCAGTCGTCCCACAGCTTCCCACTGAATTGAGAATATTGTCATGACCGACCAAGTCCTACAGGCTTGGCTCCTGTGAACCTTACTAACCTGGCTTCTTCTTTGCCAGGCTGCACCCTCCTCCTGAACTCATCCTTGCACTCTCTTTTGCCTGGCTGATCTCTTTTCATCATTTAGGCTTCAGTTTAAATGTGACCTGCTCCGAGAGTGCTGGAAACAGTCTGCTTCAGAACACCTCCCACTCCCCGCCCCGGCTCCACCATCTACTCTCTGTCACAGGAACTCCCCACGCAGCAGTTACTGCCGCCGTCCACAATGGTCTCTGTTTTCTGTGGTGCCGACTGATGGCTGGTCTCCTCAACCCCAGCGTGAGCTCCAGGAGGGAGCCTGTCCACCTTGTCTTTCTAGTCTGTCTAAGTTCAAGAAGAAACCAACAAATAAAAATCGAGGAGGAGAAAACTTTTAGAAAGGAGCTTCCTACTATGACACCAGGTATAAAATCCTGGCCATTTTTCAACTCCTTTCTTTTCACAGGCTTGACCAGCAACTGCCTAGGAATTACCAGCCTACTGCCTAAATATTCATTGCATTTCAATATTCAACATGTTGATGCCTCTCCCTTCACTGTGTTAGTCATCAGGGCCTATGGATTCTTGCATCAAATCGTTTTAACTGTTGGTCTTCCTCTCATCTTTCCACACCAGCTCCAATCACTCCAGTCAACACTCTGGCTCCCCTTCCAGGGGTCACAGAAAAGGCCTCCCAGCTGCTCTCTCAGCTGTCGGTCTCCATGAATCCTCTTCCTGATGGATGCATCTACTGATACCACTTTTAACCATAACTTTCCAAAAAAAAAAATCTATGGTGTATCTTAGTACAGTAGGTCCAAAATTATATTCAACTGTATCTTTCCCATCAGAATTCGTCATTATTTCCCACTACTCCTTTAAACAATTCCTCTGTTCTCTTCAAATACTTATTTTCTATCCTCCAAATACATCAGGCTCATTCTCTCTTGGTATTTTTGCTTAGCCATGTCACAGCCTGGGAGACTTTTTCCTCTACATCAGTTGAAAACAAAACATTGTCTTTAAAGCATAGTTCAAATCCAGCTTCTCCAACCCAGACTTTCCTCCCAGTTCTGGCCCACACATTCTTTCCTTTTTCTCAATTCTTACAGCACTGAAGCCATCAATCTATATAATATTTCATTATACAAGACTTATTTCTGTTACTCTTCCACTATTTCATAATTGTCAGTTTTATCTCCCAAATTAGATTGGACACAAGGACTGTGTTCTTATTTCCTTTATGCTCCTGGCAGCGGCAAAAGTAGAACTGATCCACCAGGAGTTACTACATTGACCTAATGATTTACATGGTCCTGGGGATGAACCCCTTCAACTACAGACCACTGTTCTAGGTAACTTGTAGTTCCCAGACAGACCACGTTCTCTCTTACCCCTAATCTTTCCCAAGTGAGCCCCGGAATCCTGGAAGGCTCCCTTTCCACCTTTATTCTCCTGGGAAATGCTCAATTCTTTTTCCAATCTCAAGTAGGACCACATTTACTAAAGCAAGGGAAGTATCCTTTGCCCCTGTTTTTATCCACCTACCCACCCCAATATCTATGTGCAGTGCCCTCCCAGACATTCCCATCAAGTGCTCTTAACCCACACAGTACATTGTAAATGACCGTTTTCCCATTGGCCTCCCTGACTGGTCGGTGTGCCACTCAGGCTCAAGTAATCCACCTTTTATGTTTACAGGAGCAGAGTGATTATGTTTTTTGAATAAATAAATGAACACACAAACAAGCTGGTAATGAAACTTGTTGAAAGAGCTAAGAATGTAGTGTAATAAGTATTAATTTCATGTTTTGTAATTTCCTACAAGCCACAGTTTATATCATTTAGAACACCCATCTGTTTTTACTTCCAAAAATAATCATTAAGGACCCAGTATGCATCAGGCACTGGCGATACAGAAAAGTCTCAAACACATAAAAATCCCTAACCTCATAGAACTTGTACCTTACTAGGTGAGGTGAGCAACAGAGTATGGGTTTGCTCCAACTGAGTTGAAATCCACAGACTACCTCTGAGCAGAAGGTTTCTTTATACATGGATGCTGGCATTAAGATGACTGATGCTGGCTTGGACCAAAATGGTGGCAGTTTGAATGGTGAACAGTAATTAAATGATAGATCGACTCTCAAGGCAGAGCCAACAGGACTGACTGATGAACTGGGAGCGAGAAATGAGAGAAAGAGAACAGTCAAGAATGGATTTTAGTCTGTGCAACTGTGAAGGCTGTGGAAAGGGTATGATGTTGGAAATAATGTGTAGATATGTGAAGAGATTCTCTGAAGTTAGGCCTTACATTTTAATATTCTGTTTTGTGTAAGTGAACTTTCCTTGGTATATTTCTAATAAATAGTAAGGGCCACTTTGGCTTCTTAGACAAATGACCAACATGGAATAGAAAAATCTGGGACAACTGCAGCCAATGCAGCTCCATGAAACACTGCCTGTGTCAGGCACCCTACAAAAGCCACTGCAACTTATTCTTCCAAGCTGTCTCAAGTTCTGTTTTTTAAACAACTGATGCAATGCAGCTAGGGCTAGAAGCTATAATTTCTATGGTTTCTAAAAACCACTTCATAGATTAAACAATCATTATCATTAGCAATATTAACAATTATGCTTTGAATTTTACCAAAGTTATGTGGATGTCAAATGGACACTTATGACAGAGGCCAAAATTTTTACCTTGCCCTGGACACGCATGATCCAGTCCAAGGTCGGAGGAGATGGCCTTGACCTAGGAGCAAAAGACCATGGAGCAAATGTGGCTGACCTAGAATGACTTAATCCACCTAAGACTAAAGCCTGAGATAGAACAGTAGGAAATCTGGGCTGGCAGGCAGCTACCTAAACAATCTAAATAATCAGCTACTGTGCTTAATGGCTGTAATTTGGGGTAAGGCTGGTAATAATGGTTTATTTTTTTCATGTGTTGAAGTATATGTCTGCAAAACTTACTGAATTTGGGATTCAAAAAATGAGACTGTTTATAAACACAGGATGCAACAGTAAGTCTGTATAATGACTAAGTCTCTTGCAGAATAATTTAGTGGTGGTCATGATGAGTTATAACGTAGACTTTTGAGTTTTCATTGGGCAGAAACAAACCATTCTCACTCAGTCTGTGAGCTTTTTTTTCCTTCCAGACTGTAAGTAGTTTACACAATAAACAGTTATTTCCATAGTAGAAATGGCCAAGCTGTCTAAGCTCTAAAGTTAACCTGTTATTATGGTTAGAAATCAAGGCTGCCAATCTTCCAGATTTTCACAGCCACACAACTTTTGACCTAGCTGATGGAAATGTAAGAGTAAACATAGTTCTTTGACCTCTTAACAAAGGCAAAAATCAACATGCTAAGGTATTTATTTAACTGGTAAGTGATCCAGCACAAAGAGACATTACAGTGGATTTATGTAATGACAGGACACTACAGATTCCTCTCCAATGAAAATTTTAAGTGAGAGTTCACTCATAAATAGTCCATGTTTTCTTATTTAGGACTTTGATATAAAGTACTGATTTGAAAACCTTATATACTTCATAATTCATCAGTGACATCAAAGAGTAAAATTGAAACTTTTCAAATCTTAATTCACACCCCCAAATCAGAGATCAGGCCCATGGAAGCACTCTCATCACAAGCATATGTGGAAGGGGAGATATCCTTTGCACATATATTCTCTTCTGCTTTAAATTCCTTTCTAACTGTGATGAGTCAATTTCCTTTCCTATCTTGAAAATTATGCTTTAAACCCACCTTCTTCCATGAAACAAGACAGGTGTAAGCCCTTCCAATCCCCACAGCATGGCAAACATGGCTGTCACTAGGGGGTCTGCGTCTATATCCTCTGGATATTTCTCAGGCATGGATGACTAACAGAAGAGAAGTCAGCTACATGAACCCATCCTGCTGCCTAGAGGGTGCTGAGTGTACGCACTGTCAATCCTGAAAAAGAGACCCTGTTCTACTATGACTCTTTTTGAACACTATGACAAACAACATAGTTAAAAGGCAAAAGGGCAAGGGCTCAAACTTTCATTCTTTTTGTAATCCTCACATTTCAGTGTCAACTTTTTATACATTTGTGTTATTGGAAAAATATAATGTATAAAAAAAAACTGCCCTGAAGTATTCATTATGGACAGGCATACGAGAACAGGAACAATCTGTTGAAATGTAGATTTAAATTTTACAAATTGATAAGGGTGATATCAAGTAAGAACTTCATGAAAAGAATGTCAAAATTGTACTCAAATCATTTCTTTCTGCACTACAAAATCAAAGATGCAGAAAAATTTTAAACTACTTGCTCCCCCCCGACAAAAATCATTTCAAGCCATTTGTTGATGTTTTTATCCATCAGTCAGATGACTCACCTGCCCTGCTCCCAAGTTCCATATGTATTTTAAACAACTCAGTATTCTGAAACAATAACTAATTCATTTCCAGCATTCCTTCGTTCAAACCTTTAAACTGTCTTTTCAAAATCAATTTACTAAAATCTAGTTTTCTACCTTAAGTAGACCATTTTGACCAACTGTAAAAAAAATATTCAAACAAATGAATTTTAGCTTACAAGCTGTATCAAAATAAAAAAAAACCACAAAATAAGTTGTCTCCTACCTATGGTTGTAATAACAGTGCCAGCAAAGAAGAAGGAACTTCCCAAATCCCAGTGACTGATTTGATTGGAGGTGTTTCCTAAAGGTATAATCCCTGCATTTATTGCTGCCACTATTTGCTGCAAGTTTAAAAAGAAATTTATCAGTACACATGAATCACATGGAAGCATCAAACAGTATATATCCCACCCCAGATGACCAATTAGACAAAGAGAATCAATCTAAGGTTTGCTTTTCCATTTAAAGTATGCAACATAGATTAAAACTTTACACTAAAAAATTTAATACGTTAAATGATAAGAAAATTATATTTGATGTCAGGTGAATGGATCTGCATATGCATAAGGCTTATCATTTGGGCTGTATGCATTCATATTATCCAGTACCATACTTAGTGATTTATTTGAATTAACAACTAAATATAGCAATAGTTTTTAGTAAGCAGCACAGAGTTAAAATATCAGATTGCAAACTACACTTCAAATAATATATAATAGCATCATCGAAAAAAACCCAAGTATTTCCAAAGTGCTAGTCATTTTGAATGGTAAATACAGGTACCCAAGCCTGGGGTGTGTATAACAGTAGAGAGTATAATGTCAGGAAGGTCCAACAAAATAGACTAAGACGAGAAGCAACAAGCAACAGCAATCCACGATCAAGCTTAAGTCAGTCCGTTTATATCTAGATTCTTAGAATCTCCACAGATTTTTATAAATTCTGTAACAGTGAGTGTCACCAAAGACGTGTAGATGATGACAGTCAATGGTATTCCTATAGGAACACTAGAATATGGATGCTGCCTTGAGTATTACTGGCAGAGGCAGAAAGATGATGTTATAATCCTTCTCAATCCTCTGATGTTGGAGAGGGGAGGAGGAGATCCAGAAGCACAAACACAGAAGAGAAAACTTTAGGAGAAAATATGTAGTAAGAGAGAGGCATACAGATTGTAGCAAAAGACGTTTCTGTTGGAAACACAGTTTTTAAATCTTTTATCACTCAATTTTAAATTGGATTTAAAATTTTTATTTTAAAATTAGATTTTAAAATTGGAAGGAACTTCATTTGCTAGGCAAGGAAATTAAAGACCAACAGCGGTAAAGTGACTTGTTTAAAGTTATACCGTTTATTGGCAAGTGGACAAAAACTACACTGTGAACAGGGAGGCACTACCCAAGGAAATTACTGTCAGATGGAAAAGCGCAGTAATCTCATTTGCCTGGCTTGTCCTCACCTATAAATTGAAACTCCAATAGTTAGCTGAACTGTAACACTTTTGTTTACTTTAACAATGATACAAGTTCATTGCTAAAGAAATTAGGAAAAACAGAAAGGCAGAAAGAGGGTAATAAAAATTATTCATAACTCCAGAATCCAGAGACAACCACTGTTAATAGATTAAGGTATCTACTCCTGATACTTTGCTATACATTTTTACAGAGTTGGATTTGTGAAATATATGAAACATACTCCCTATTTTTGCTTACTATTATTCTACATGCAGTTTTTCTTTGTTATTTATTTAATCATTGCCCAACGTGTAGACATATATGCTACTCTAAAATTTGTCTTATTATAAAAAGTGCTGCTGTGAACGTATTTGTGTATCCTTTTTCACTTCTGCGTATTTTTGTGGGAGATATTGCTAGAAATAAATTTGCCACATTGAAGATTATGAAAATTTTAAAGCACTGGATGGGTAGTAGCAAGAAGCTGTCCGAGAAGGTTACTCTAATCTACAACAGCCCCTCAACAATTTACAAGCACCTAGCAATACTATTACCTCTAATATTAATATTTTATCTTTACTGAACTGATAAGAATTATTTACATTTATATATACTTGATTGTGAGTAAAGTTGAATACTGTTTCCTTTCTCATATATTAAACGTACATGGATATACACATATACACGTATTTGCCCAGCACATAGTGAAGCCAGTTTTGAGATAATTGATTCTCTTTATCTGATTCTCTGCTGTAAATTTAACATCAGATAAGGTAGGTTTCCCTGATTATCCTTGTTCGAAAAAATTTTTTGCAGTTTCTAACCTATTATTCTTGCATAAACTTTATAGTCATTTAGTTAAATTTTATAGAAATAATCCTTTTCATGGGTTTAGCATATTTCTGTTGTTTGGATATATGTGAAATCTATAAATTAATTAAGGCAAATGAACACTCATAATAGTGAAACTTCCCATCAAAGAACATGGTGTGAATCTCCATTTACTGAGTCCCCTTTAATATTCTGAAATAGAGCATTTTTGGTGTACTTCACATAGGTCTGTAAGGTTATTTTTAGCTATTTTACTTTTTTTCCATTTTAAATTATAACTGGTTATTGCTGTTGTATACATAAATATATGTTGCCCATTCTCTGCACCAGCAATTCTCAAATTTTTTATCTCAAAACCCCTTTTCAGTCTCAAAAATTATTGAACACATCAAAGAACAATGGAATATGTGAGTTGTAACTATTGATATTTATATTTTTGCTTGAATTTTTACCTCAAAATGTTTTAATTCATGTAAAAATAAAAATAACCTCATTATATGTTAACATAAGTTAACATACTTTCATGAAAAATAATTATGTTTTCCAAAACAAACAAAGGTTTAACGAGAAGAGAGACACTGTATAATTATCTAAATGTCTGGCTTAATAGAAAACAGATTATAATATATGCTTCTGCATCCAATCTGGAAAACAGTATGAAGATTCCTTTAAAAAAATTAAAAATGGAACTACCATACAATCCAGTAATTTCACTTCTTGGTATTTATCCAAAGAACAGGAAAACGTTCATTCAAAAAGATATAGGTACCCCTATGTCCATGGCAACATTATTTACAGTAGCCAAGATACAGAAGCAACCTAAGGGCCCATCAATAGATGAATGGATATATATATACACACACACATACACATACACACACACAATGGAAAATTACTCGGCTATAAAAAAGAATTAAATCTTGCCATTTGTGATAACATGGATAAATCTAGAGGGTATAATGTTGAGTGAAATAAGTCAGACAGAAAAAGGCAATTACCATACAATTTCACTCACAGACGGAATCTAAAAAACAAAACAAACAAACCAAAACAGAAACTCCTAGATACAGAGAACAAACTAGTGGTTGCCAGAGGGGGAAAGGGAAGGGGGCTGGGTGAAACAAATAAAGGATATTAAGAGTACAAACTTCCTTATAAAATAACCAAGTCACAGGGATGTAATAGGAACAGCAAAAGGAATGTACAGCAAAAGGAATATATGTACTAACTTTGTATGGTACAGATGGTTACTAGATTGATCATGGTGATTATTCTGTAATGTATTTCATTGTTGAGTCACTATGTTGCATACTCGAAACTAACAAAATATTGTATGTCAACTGTACTTCAATAAAAAAGAGTATTTTTATATATTACAGACATTTCTTCGACACATTCCTTTATTGAAAAAACATTTATCAATTATTTATGGTGCTAGGCAACTGGGAAGCAACAGAGAAGTAAAAACATGGGTGGTATAGATGCGAAAAGATAAGGCATGTCTTTAGACTGCACCTAATTAAGTAAAATTAGTTATTTTATTTATTAGACGCAAGCTAATTCCTCCAGTTGACTCAATATTGACTCCAAAGCCAGCACCATCATTCTAACCTATTATTTGGCTTGTCGATGATAAAGCACAGCATTACCCAGACACCTGGATAAGTTCCACAAATTACTTAAATGCAAAAGAAGCAAATGTAGACTTAGAGACAGTAAAGTCTGGCAATGTGTAGGCTGTAAATAGTTATCACAGAGCCGTGATTATTGCAACAGAAGCTGGAGATGGGACCAGGAATATGTCAAATCACTAAGAATGAGTCTACCATGAGATCCTTTCTTTGGAATACTCTTGTAAGTTTATTTTATATTTTTTTGTACAAGGTCCCTTGGTCAACATCCACAGGAAATCGGACGCCTGTGGCAAGTGCACTGGCACAGATCGAAGAGTCTCTGCAATTTCGTCAGTTCAGGCCATCAGAGCACTTCACAAATGCCTTCATGGGAACCACTTCCGAATGCACCCTATTGTGTGCTTAAAGCAGCAATCATTTCATCTATGATAAAAATTCACTTTTCCACTAAAGGCAACTTTTTTAGACAATCAAATCATGTTGGCAACTTATGAATAAGTTGAATTTTTAAGGCGAGGGGAAAGGGAATGTGGGATCCTATACATTCAATCCTAACATACAATTATCTGAAGTACTGATTAAGGAAGGACTTCCAAACCTAAAACCCCCAACGGAAACAGTATAAAGTAATCTTGGTTGGATTCACACACAATTTTGCTCTGTAGTTTATAGACAATCATGGAACGTGCATTAAGGAAAGGGAGTTGATACATGGTTCTAGTCAAGAATAGGAGCTTAAACTTAGGAAATGGAGCTCTGAGAGGCTTATACTCACAGAGGTGATAACGGTAATTACTCATAAAAGTAATTATGAAAAATCTTAGTTTTCATGACAATGATGGCTTTAGAATCAAAGTTCACCGAGTTCTAACATGAATCTGTGCATTCTTGAATTGTAAGAAGTTTACGTCTCAGCGTCACTGGGCATTTTGGAACTATATTCAGCTTTAACAACACCAAACACTGGTAAGACACACTTATCTGTAATTGTAAGAGACTCAGGGCAATCACTGACAACCATGAAAGTGTTCCTGTGAGTCCAGTGCCTGGGAACAACTTTTTCATGTGTTATAAAATACTCGACAAGCTATTTTTTCCTTTGAAGGAAAAGATTTCAGACAGCAAGCACCCCCAGGGAAGGCCAAAAGAATACATTGTTTTCAGAATAGGTTACACTGTGGATCTTAAAATACAAGCTCTGTTTTTACTTTTTTGCCCGTTTACTCAGAGGCTCAGATGTCCAGGTTCACCAGGACAATACAGACTGTTCTGAATGCCTTCCACAAATTCCTCCTCTGTTAATATCATAATCAAAATTTCACTAAATATATTATCATGCCTATAATCCTAAAAGTAAGGTCACAATAATTTGAATTTTTTAAGTGATATAAGAATTCTAAACTGCAGGTACAAGGCATTGGC